CTAACAACTAGACCGATTTCCCTTCTGAGCCGCGTCTACGTGCTGTTTTCGAGAGTCATAACGAATCGTCACGCACGCAGTATACCTCAAACTCTGAAAACTAGATTGTACAACCAGTGCGTGTTGCCAGTGATAACTTACGGATCTAAGACGTGGTTCTTCACTGCTGGCCGTACAAGGACGCTCAAGGTCACTCAGCGAGCTATGGAGAGGGCTATACTCGGAGTTACTCTGCGTGATAAACTCAGAAATGAGCATATCCGCAGTAGAACCAGAGTGACCGACATAGCCCAACGGATTAATAAGCTGAAGTGGCAATGGGCCGGCGATATAGCTCAAAGAACCGATTACCGATGGGGAAGAAAAGTTCTCGAGTGGCAGCCTCTAGGCGTTAGGCGTAGTGTAGGGCGGCCTCACAATAGATGGAGTGCTGCCCTGGTAAGACGTGCAGGAAGTCGGTGGATGGCAGGTGGCTCAGGACCGTGCTTTGTGGCAATACTTGGGGGTGGCCTATGTTCAGCAGTGGACTTGTGAAGGGCTGTAATGATGATGATGATGATGATAAGAAAGGGGAGTCAAAACTGTGTTGATAATGCAAGCTCTGTGAATGAAATGCTATACATTCATTGTAAGATGGCACTAAAGGGGGGCCAGTTTACTAGTAAAAACTTCCAGCCAGTAAGATTGATCATTAGAAGTTGTACTTTCGGAGCACAAAAAAGCACATCGGATTTTTTTATGTTTTTCCAAACTAATGACGGATGAGTTCTAGGAGACAGCGACTCACAGGATTCTACTGCACTTTAGGGTTTTGGAGAGGGGATACTGTACGTGTAGGTGAACTATCATTAAGGAGACAAAGATTTAAAATAACAACGATATTTAAAAATGTAGAGGACCAGGGATCACAAAAATGGGAGACCCATAAAGTATGGTGCATATTAAAATCACCAAGAATGACCACAGGGATAGGGATGGACGATATAATCCTCGTGAGTTCTGATAGGATATTTAAGCTAGGTTCAGGGATGTAATAAGTTACTGATCTTGCGATAAGAATGAGAGAACCAGCATGACCATTATTCCTATCATCCCTATGGCATGAATAACCTCAGACCATCAAATAGGCCCCAGGCTTTAGCCATATCTCCTGAACGGCTAGGATGAGGGGATGGAATTTGTTAATTAGATAGGTTAATTCGTTTTTCTTATTTTTAATTCTCCGGCAGTTCCACTGAAATATTGGAGGGAAGCTTATTTGTTAATGAAATGAGTTCAGTAAGTTTTTGGCGGAGGGCAAGTGGGAGATCGATCACTAAAACAGGAAAGCATACTAATAAGTATGTAGATCATTGATTCACAGAGATTTTCATTATCCGATTAGAAATACTCCGTCCTATTAAAGCACAACCATTAGCGGTTGAAGAAGAAGGGGTATCTATGATTGCCTCATGTGCAGATTTATCATATCCATAACTTGATGCTGGTATTGGTGGGAGTCTTGAAATGAATGTAGTCTTCCTGTAAGAATGAGATTGCGAAGGAGCAACTGAAGGTAAAGAGGAATTTGAAATAGGATAGAGACTCTGATGACTATCTGAAGGAAGGGATCTAGTAGTATCTGCATAAGTTCTCCGGACTTGGATGAAGCGGGCAGAAGCTTCTAGATAAGAAATGTTCTCCTGGGACATTGCAAGTTTGATGTCTGCCTAGAATGTTCAAGGCAGGAAGGATCTTTAGCTGTGTGAGATCTTGAACAAAAAAGGCAAGTAGGAGACTGTCTTGTGTATGATATTCCTTCATGATTTTGAGCACACACAAAACAATGGGAAGATGACCTACACTGTGAAGTAACATGTCCAAAACAGCAACATTTGTGGCATTGTATAAGTGGTAAAATTTAGGGCTCAACAGGCATTGAAGTGAAAAAGCAATAAATGTTACAAGGAAGTTTCTGCCCAGAAAAAGTTAAAACAACTGTTTGAGAGGGAATACACATAGTGCTATGGTTTTCGTGACAAGATTTTCTATCAAATCTGCGAGCTTTAATTATTGAGCCAAAACCAGCGGGGACCTTGATTGACGAAATTAATTCCACTAATGTCCACTCCACAGGGACCTGTCTTACTATTCCCATACGAATGACATTATAGGAGGGAATTACAGTATCATATTTAGCACCTGCAGGAGCAGGGTTCTCAATAAAACAATTTTGTTCTCAATAAAAAGCTGCACTTTTAAATTCCACTGAGATTCTATTGCGCCCTATTCGTTTAACACCGTCAACAACAACACCTTTAATATTATTATCGTAGAGAAAATGACCAAACTTTATCGGTTTTAAAACTACTCAGAATGATAAATCATTTACTATCTTACTGTACAATAAAGGGCGTATTGTCATCATTATTTATGCCTTTTTTCTATGAAGTCAGCATGAATATAAGAGGACTGAGTAGATGGTACAGGTTGAGATGGATCTGTAATTAATCTTTTCTGAGGATGTTCTGAATAATTGGATACCTGTGGTCTTTAACGATTCAACAGTTCGATTTCCATCAGTATATTTTTTTTTGGGAATAGTATAGGAGGCACATGGATCGTGAGGATCTTCCTCCATTTTACTATAACTAATTACATATAAAACAACACCTTACGGATTTATAATTACTAAAACCAACACCAACACAAAGAACAAACAACAAAAGTAAATCAACAGATCTTAGAAACATGAATTAGCCAAAAACAGAACGACGCTTGTATACCTTACACCTCCTCATGCTGCGGCTACACTAACGAGCAACGTCAATGCCCATATACGCAACAATTATTGTCTTAAATTTAACGCGATAAAATGAGTGGCTACACTTGAACGTTAACGTCATTTCAATTTCAATGCCGTTGAACGGCATTAAATTTGCCGTTGAACAGCGTTATATGTTCCTTGAATATCAAGCAAGATGGACGTTGACACAGCTATTCCATATTTGATAAGTGTAAATGTTTATTATATGAATATATTTTATCATTGTCAAACTTTTCGTGGCAGAGCCATGCTGCAGTTATATTAGTAGTAAAGTTGTACCACGTATGGGTCGGCTCGACCGGGGAAGGACCACGCTCTCACAGAATACCAGCGTAAAATAGTAGCTTAATGCTGCTGTTTCGTATGGTGAGTGTAGAGAACCGGAGAACCTTTTTACTGGAAACGAGGCATTCCATCCTAGTCCTCACGGGTGACAACGCATCTGCATTTTGATTCGTAATCGAGGATAGATTTAGATGTCTATGGGCCATAGTATCTACATACCATCAGGTGGACTGTGTGCTCGTTTGTCACCCTATCCTATAAAATAAAATAAAAACGAAGAAAAAAAGAATACAAAGAAAAAGAAGATGGTGGATGTTACAAATGCACAGGAAACGTATACTGTAAATCTATTTATGTTTTATTTTGTTTTCCCGCACCCAAATTGCACTAGAAAGACGTCCAATGGTTTAAGCTAAGTAATAAGACAAACGTGAACATATTTTAATGAAATAATAACTAATAAGCCAATCATAAATACTGGTCAAGTGCGAATTAGATACACGTACCCAGGGATTCGTACCACTTTATTTTTCTTAGTTTCATACCGTAAATTAAAGTGTACTTTTGAAGTAATTTTTTTAATTCAATTTCGAAAAGCTTTTTCATTACTCCACTCCATCGCAGCCATACGTGCAACCCCGTTGCACTTACCGTGCACAGTGAGACAAGACAAACGTAGTGTGGCCGCTTCAACGCGATAATTCGCGCGTTAATCCTTTGATGTACCGCCACTCAAGTTATCGCCATACGGGAAACGGCATTGTTAATGCCGTTGTCAAATTATCGCGTTAATTCGTGGCCACACCTACATTCAACGTCCATCAACGCTAAAGTTGTTCAAAAGGACTATAAATCAATAGCACACTACAGACTATAAACTATAAATTTCTAGCGCGCTATTAAATACGCTATGTTATAGCGCGCTATTTATAAGAAAGCGTGTAGGAGGCCGGTAAGCGTGTTAAGTTTTGCAGCACGTTATATCTTTTAGCACGTTACATTACATGTCGTTCATTGGATAGATCGCGTGCTATATAAGAACATTATTTCGCAATAAGTCGCATTTTAGACTAAAATGAAATAAAGCGGTAAAGAAAAACCAATGCATGCCATTTTCATACTTTTCAGGCTTACTACTTTCTATAATCCTAAAAATATTTTTAAGTCATGTACTTTTTAAATAGAATTAATTTTATTTTTAGAATCGAAATAAAATTAATTATTTTTTATTATAATTGATGTAATCATTATTTTAACCTTAATATAAATTATAAATCAAATAAAGGTGTATTTAAAAGTTTATTTATTGTATTTATAAAAATCAATTATTTACATACACTATTATATACACTTTTGTATCTATATTTTATTTGCATTTTATAAACATTAGTTAGGCTTCTTTTATCACAACTGTGTCCTTTGATCACTTACAGTATACACTAACTAAACAACGCCTAACATTAAATTAGGTCGCACGCGATTAATAGCGCGCTACGAGATCAAATTTGCGACACACGTCCTCTTCCAACAGCGCTGCTGCTAAAACTAATTGCCGCTAGATATATAGCGCAATAGCGACGTGGCGACTACTTACATAACACGCGCTATGTGTTATGAAGAGATAGCGCGCTATAATATGGCGCTATGCGCTATATTAACCACCATTAATCAACGCGATAATTAACGGCATTTCTCCTTAGTGTAGCTGCAGCATTAGGGGAATTCAACACCAATTCCATTTGACATTTAAGTGGCTGTACAATCTTAAGGCCTATGACTGGATATAATAAACGTAAATTAAAAAAAAAACATTTTGGCGGGGAACATACAAAGTAGCAATATATTTTATTCTCTTAGTGGGAAAGTTAAGATAGAAAGACTTGCTTAGGCCGGGTTTAAAATTTTCACAATGTCTTATCCTATTGATTATTTAAAGCAGGGAGGGAGGTTTTATTTATGTTGGTTGGCAGATACGTGCCCGCTGCGATTTACGACTATTAGTCGCAGGCAGTTGTACTCTCAGGATATTCGAAAAATATGGTGAGTTAATTTTTACATTTTTAACTTTTCAACCGACCATATAGGCAAGGATACAGGTTAAAATAAGGGGAGGGTCTTCATTGGACTATATTTTTTATGTATATTACTTCAGAACTTTTTTCTAGGTGAACTGATTTTGATGATTCTACAGAGGCTAGTGATTCTCATATGGTCCCATATAAACTTAATCAAAATATGACCAGTAGTTTTTAGTAAACTTTAATAATACGTATTTAATTGACTTCGACTACAATATGTTCTCATTTTATTTATGTTGAAGTCAGTTGTACAAAATATTTAATTATATCACTTGTTTTATCTACGGTCAGTTTAAATAATATGAACTATTTTATGTAGCGCGAAATAATGATTATGCTTTCAGTGATGATTTACTAGAAGTTACGACAAATGAGTCCAGTGATCCGGCAGCAAGATTTTCTCTGCGCTTAAGTTCCCAGTTGCTTAGGGGCCTGGTGAGACTTTATCAAAGGAAAGTTACTGTTCTACTAGGTTAGTGTATTAATATTTATAATACATTTAATATTGCACTTGTGTCAGTACTTAATTTAATGAACTTCTATCTTACAGGGGATCTCTGCATGATTAACGCCACTATTTTAGAAAAAACAAATAAAAAGTAAGTTTTGGTTTAGTTTTTAGTAATTCATTTATTCGTTACTATGTCTTATAATATTTACTTGTTAGAAATTGGTTGTACAGTGGTGTTCAAGTATAATTAGTTCTACATATTCTACCTCAATGGTGTGCAAATAATAATCATGTAACTTATCAACAATATTTATCGAATTTTTAACAATACATAAGTTATTTTTAATACTATTTAATTTATTTGATAATTAATTAATTATGTAACAGTGTCAGAGAACATGCCAATTTAAGATTATTATTTTAGCTTAATGTTAAATATTAATATTCATTTGTCAACCATTGCCTAAATAATGCCAATTATAAATGTCACATATCCAAGTATCATTAAGGTATTGTGGTAATTATGTCAAATTTATTAATTGATTATTCAAATTATATATAAACTAACATAATTTATTATTATGTATATCTTTCATGTCATTTAAAAATTATGTTGGAATGGTTTTGTTAGGATGTTATAGGGTAGGTTAAACAGATTACCTTTAGGGGTAAACATGTAGGTTTGGCTTCATTAAATCCAAAATCATCAAAACAGTAAACACACATTCTTAAAAATGTTCAGGAGTATTATAAATACTGTGAAAAAACACTAAATACATTTAATTTTGCCCTCAGTAGTTATATCCCAGTAATAGGTACAGTGCTATTTGTTGTTATTAATTAAGATATTTGTACATATGATGTAACTCATCTCAACAATACAGTGAGATATCAAGTTCTGCAGCTTATGCTGTAAAAATAAGTCTTACCAACATTGAGACCACGCATTGCATCCATCCATCTGTTACAGCCTATCAGAAGTCCACTGCAGAATATACACTGCCAATAGATTGCCTCACAGGGGGGTATTTGTCATTGTTGCCAACCTGGTTGCCAAGTGCAAGCGAGTTGGCAACCATATTTTATTTTGTGTTGCTATCAGATATATAATTTATAGATTTACTGTGTAAATACTAGAGACTATGATTAATAAATGAAACAACGTACTTTTGTGAAACAAAAAATTTTACAAAACAATAGTAATTATTACATAAACTAACTCTCTGACTCTATCTTACTAACCACAGACCCTCAATACATTAGTTATGCCTGGCAGGACTTAAAGCTTTAGTAAGAACATCTGTTGGCATTTCAGTTATTGGCAAATATTGTAAAATAATAATATTATTGTTAACTTTAGCTTTTATGTACATAATATCAATGTGTTTACTCTTTCTATTACAAACATAATTTGCCACCAACCTCTGTGCACTTTGGCTGTCATTATACATTGTTACAGTACAAAGGTAAGTAAGTTCATAAAGTAAAGATCTCAAATAAATGATTTCTTTACATGCCTCCTCTATTACCATATATTCCAACTCCATGCTTGATAATGCAACTGTAACTTACCATATATGATCAGCGATCTATAGCATTACTTGCCTAATCGGCATAAATATATCTAACAAGCTCAGCTGTTTCCTTTACATACTTTAGGCAAAAATTCTTAAGCCACATGTTCATTGAGAAACAATGTTTCAGATATACAGTTTCTGAAACATCACGTAGATGTTTCCAGGTACAATGTTTTGGAAACTCTGCCGTCACATCAGTTGCTTAGCTGCCAAAGTATTATATTTTCATAATTCCAATGAGCCATGGTATTTTACTTATTAAATTGACTAAAAAAACTAACATTATAAGAAGTATCAGATCTTGTAAGAACTGATAAAACATTAAACTTCCAATTAATTGTTGATATGGAATTTCTTGATGACAGTATTCTGACTTATTGATATCTAATTTACATTGAATACTAGCAACGAGTGAGACAAAGAGTACTAGCAACTTTACAATTTAACATATAAAATTTTTCCAATAAATGTTCTATTTACTGTTCCTGATCTAAGGTTAATAAAATTTGATTTTTTATCTATTTTAACCGGATGAGAATTGATATGTGGTAGAGCCACACTGCAGCTATATTTTGGTTATAGCACGAATGGGTTGGCTCAATCAGGGAAGGACCACACTCTCACAGAATACCAGTGTAAAATAGCAGCTTAATTCTGCTGTATTTCATATGGTGACTGTAGAGATCTGGAGACCCTTTTATACTGGAAACGAGGCTATCTATCATAGTCCTCAGGGGTGACAACGCATCTATGTTTTCACTCTTAATTTAAAAAAAAAAAGAATATTAACAATGCTAAAACATTACTAATATTTCCCCAAACCACTTGTGGTAAGCTTAAATTGCTTGTGTTACGAGTGGTTCACGCCAGTAGTTGAATGGCGGATTCGAACCCACAATCTTTTTGAGTTCGCGGTCCGCGCCCTGCCATTAGGCTACTGTCGCTTCAAATTAATCAAGGATAAATGTAGATGTCTATGGGCCACAGCATCCACTTACCATCAGGTGGACTGTGTGCTTGTCACCCATATTCTGTAAAAAAAAAACAGATCTATTTTGAAGGTAGGCAGCGGTATTTGTGAGCTCTGCCCAAATTTTTTATCTAATTCTACATCAAATAATAAGCAGTGAACCCGTTCAACAATTGTTTTATTGAATAATTCACTCATACAATTTTGCTCCAGTGTATAAATAGTAGTTTTCTGGTAAACTATACCAGCCTGTTTTAAATAATTTTCAAAATCATTGCTACAGAACACTGAGCCATTATCAATCCTAAATAATTTAACTTTTCTGTCTTTTTGATTTTCTAATATACTTTTTAACTCCTTAAAGTACATTATTACTTCAGTTATTGCTTTTAAAAAATAAACAAAGGCCATGTGGGAATGGTCATCAACAAAAATCAGGAAATATCTGGGTCCACTAATTGAAGTAGTCTCCATTAGCTTGCAGACATCAGCGTGTATTACACCCAGAGGTTCACTACTCCTTGTACCAGAGTGACCAAATGGCAACCATGACTGCTTTCCTTCGCAGCATACTGTGCACATACTTTTGTTGATTACTGACTTATCTGTGTATGATATTCCCGTAACTGCTCCATCCTTCATTTTATTCTGGTCATTTATATTCAAATGGCTTAATATTCTATGCCATACTTCACTGTTAACACTCCAAGTAGATGTAAACAAACATTGTTTATGTTTCATGACCAGCTTGTAAACACCTTCTTGGTTCGCCACAGCAACTAAATTGTTATTTTTTTTATTGTAAACAACAGCACTTCTCTTTAAACTCCACATTGTTCCCATTCTTGCTAAGTCGACTAATGGAAATCAAGTACGTTGTGAGGTTAGGAACACACAAGACATCTTTCAATGTAACTTCATATTCGGAATAACTGTTATGATTTTCACATAACCTGAACACAATACAGGCATGGCATTTTGATTTGCTAATATAATCTCCTTGACACTATCTGAATATGATGCATTTAGTATCTTATTTACATCCGTCGTCAGTCGTCATATGAACGCTTGCGCTGCTACCTATCTAATCATATATCTAATTATAAGTTTTTCTCTGTCTACAATTCCTGTTTATCTTTATACTCTTTGCATAGACAATCCGCCGCCATGATTATGCTTTTTATTAACTGGCTTGACGGCTCTGGGTTCTAGCCTTTCTGAGCCAATCATTTATTTCGGAATCTTCATTTTATATTTTTTTCTTCACAATATGCTGATGCGTCACATTGCGATGCCCTTGAGAGATTTGACGACAGCTCAACCTAGCGGGCAGTTGATGACGACAGCCAATCAAGTTTATAAGGCGCCCAAGCGATCAAAATAACTTGAGGTTTATATCGACGTCCAAGCACTTGTTTTGTCATTTTCTCTAAAAGTTCACACGCTAGGATACTTAATTCACAAAATCGCATTAATTTTATGAATCAAAATCCACTTCAAACCATTATTCAAGCGACAAAACAGGAGCGACAATCTGTCTACGGCCAAGTTCCCGCCAAAATTCCCACGATGGTTATTTGAGCTGTTATTCCATGGAGTATAGAGGACAGTCTCCCATAGGAGAATAGTTGAAAATGTGTCTATCCGGTAACGTCACCCTCATTGAGCGCTTTCCTACGGACACTTTTTAAACAGAGTGTACTCCATACCTCTACACTCCATATGTTATTCGTAGCTATGGAGTACCTCTACATCATATATGGATGGAGTACTCCATACTAAACTCCATGGCTTTAGCAATACTGCCAACTTTATTACAATTGTGCTGTCCTCTACTCAAAAACGCACTTCCAGGTTCGCAGTTGCCGTGAGCCGCAAAGTCAATCAACTTTATCTTCACTAAGTCACCTGTAATGGCGATCCCAGAATGTTCAATCGCCATTATTATTGGGAAGTATTTTTCAGGCAAACCTGCTAGGGCTAGAGCACCCGATGCACTCGTCATTCACTGAGAGACATGTTTTTGCTAATTTCTGTACTGTATCTATAATTTGCGTGACATAATTCGTCATTGAATCGCAGTTGTCGAGACGAATTGATACCAGGTTTCTTAATAAAGTTATTCTCCGAGACAATCCAGAATCATCAAACATGATCTGTAGTTTTTGCCACAAATTCCTTGTACTTGACGCGTCTTTGATGTGCGCGTACATTGATGGGTCGATCGTCAAAATTTGGCTTTGGATTTTGCATCTTCTGCGGCTGCATCCTCAGCACGCTCCCTTTTGATAAAATGATCTGTGCCCTCCAAGATTAACAGACTCTCCGTAGCAAAAGATCATTCATGATAATTCTCGCGCCCTTTCAACTTAGTCACATTGGTCAAGAATACAATTGTTAAACACAGGGCCTATATCTATGCTGGCGAAACTAACTAAAATATACTTAAAAAGAATCCCTAAAGAAAAACCTATTATTACTAGATTACTGTATATGCTAGAGACTATTATTAATAAATAAAATAACGTATTTCTTTGAAAGCTGATAACTAATAGGTTATTTCAAATAGAGATAAGCACAGATTATCCAAAAACTAGTAGTTCAAACATTACAACCATAGATAGCGCTAGTTTGCTTTTTTGATGTTACCATTTTATAACTATTTCTAACAAGATAGATGCTCTTATAACACCCACAGAATGATATTGTGAGTCTCTCACGACGTCACTTCACAGAAAACTACCAGTTTACTTTAGTTATTTTCATCGCATAATGTAGTATCACAGTTTAATTTAATCTTTAAATTGTGGTAGTACGGTATTTGGCTTGGGCAAACGCGACTGACACCTATTATTTATTCTGTACTGACACTGAAATTATATTTTTTATCACAATAGGTTCGTCTATAACAGTAATTTCAATCTATAAATTCAATAAATTCTGGTTAAACCGCATTAAGTACTTTCAAATTCCTGTGCGAAGATGTCGACACTAGACAGACGCTGATAACTAACTTCGTTCTCTACTATAGATGGATATTACATGACGCACCCATATATACGGAGAATGTCCAGCGTCCGAGACTTCAAATAATACTACAAGAGGAGCCAGCAAATGTTGAAGATGAAGAAGACGAAGAAAATGTTGAAGAATTATTACGGGTATGTAAATATGCGTTACTTTTCATAACATATAACATAAACACTCACGCCTGTCACCCAGAGGGGTAGGCAGAGACTACAGACTTCCATTTGGCACGATCCTGACACACCTCTCTTGCCTCCTTCACATCCATACACCTACGCATACATGCTCGTCGGTTAAGGGTACTCCTAATTTGGCCCGTTTTCATTAAATCGCCAATTTGGTCGATAAATTTTCGCCTAGGACGTCCCTTTCCGACTCTGCCATTCACTTCTGCACCATAAATTTTCTTTGTCACTCTTTCCTCATTCATTCTCTCCACATGACCAAACCACCGAAGCATTCCTTTCTTAATCCTGGTCACAACATCATCTTGCAAACCACACTCTTCTCTTATTACACAATTTCTTACCCTGTCATTCAGATTCATCCCTAACATACTCCTTAACGACCGCATTTCTACTGCGTTTATTCTACTCTCGTGCTTCTTCTGCCACACCCAACTTTCACTACCATACGTTTAAAGTAGGAACCAACACAGCATTGTGAATTGCCACACGTGCCTTTTTCGACACATTTTGACTCTTCACAATAGAGTGCAAGGCCCCATTTACTCTATTTACTTTTCATAACTACTTGATTATTTGTTGTTTGGTTACTATGTGAATCCTTCCACCAAAAGCTTAAGGCGCCGACTGTTACCGAAAATCCATCTAAAAACGAGGAATTCAAAATTTATGGACTCGTGGATAACACTTTCAAAAAAGGCATAGGAATTTATAGGGGGGCCAAATTGATAACCAAAATTTCTGGGCAATATTCTAAAATGTAATAACATGGTATGAATCAACAGAAACACTTATGACATCATGGGCGCTTTCCTATTCGCCGGTACGACCCCTTCGTTTTTCCAGGTGCTGGTGTAGATTTACGCTTGGCTTTCTAACTAACACAGACTTAAGTTCTACAATACGTACACAATACACATGCAGTTTTACCGGGTAGCATCGAGCGGGACGCCTGCTGTCCCGGCGCCAGCGACCTGCACATGCCATACGTTTAATACATTTTTGCTTCTCCGGCAACTGGGCCAGTGCCGGGGCCGGTGCCGTGCCGGTGAATGGAAAAGCGCCCATTAGCGCTACGATCAACTTCGATTCACGCAAGTGGCGGTCTGCACTGGCCAGCAATGGTACCAGTCATAGACTCATGAGCACGTGATGCGATGACGAGGCGGAGCGTGCTTTCATTTTTTACGGGTTATTTTGCCTAAAACCATGACGTTGAACAATCCAGCCAAATCCCACCCATGTGGCAACCCTACATACTAGCCTGAAAGGCCCTTAGTTTATGACCGTCATGTTCTTAAAATTCTGAAGTGGAGGAAGAAAAAGATAATGTAGTTGTTTTAAAAATTATAATATATTTGTCCTTATAATTTTTCTTTGCTGAGAAACTTTTCCTTTTATTATTGGATCGAGAGTGAAAAAGCGATGTTCGTTTACATACCTTTTAAATACATTTAATTTACAACCCGTCCCGTTTGGCTAGCAACTAAACCCAAGTGTCTCTGGCTGGATGAATTAACGGCCGGCTTCCTGCGTAGCGATCCTAGATTTCCTCGATTCACATAAAATACTCTTTTTTGGATCCTATTAAGGCTGTTCAAGCTGCACATTTTGACCAGGACATTACGTCCGTATCTATAAACGCCGTCAATACGAGGCATTTGAAGGAGGCTGTGAAACGTCTTAAACCGCGTTCATCCAGTGGGCCTGATGGCATCCTTGGGTTCTTGGCTAAAGATTGTATAGCTGTACTGGAGGGGCCTCTCTTGCATCTCTATAACCTTTCAGTAACTAATGCTAGGTACCCTTAAATTTGGAAACTTTCCGGGATTACACCAGTGCCGTAAGGGGATGGGAGTATGAACGTGTCAGAATTTAGACCAATTGCTGTCTTATCAGTGTTTGTTGAAATATTTGAGTCTATTCTCATCAAACATATTAATAATCAGGTTAGCCATTTGTTACACAATAGCCAACACGGTTTCCGTAAAGCTCGTTCTACCACTACGAACTTATTTGCGCATGTAGACTACATATATAAGGAGATGGATAATTACAAACAAGTTGACACGGCATACTTCGATTTCAGAATGGCCTTCAACCTCATTGACAACGACAAACTGTTAGAAAAGTTGGCATTTATTGGCTTTACTCCCAAACTCATTCTTCGGTTTTTCGCATGCTTTCTGAATAATCGATGTCAGTATGTGCGGGTGAACGGGTATAATTCCAGCGATTACTTCACGAGATCAGGCGTTAGTCGGGCAGTACGTTGTGTCCAACCCTCTTCCTGCTCTTTATAAATGATCTGCCGAACACCGTTTGTTTTTCTGAATGTCTCCCCTTTGCTGATGACTTAAGACTCAGTCTGGGTATTGAATCTGAATCAGATACCATAAATCCGAAAAAATACATTGATGTGGTGTTGAATTGGAGCCAAGAAAATCTATTACCTTTAAATAATAATAAGTGCAAAATAATTACATTCACTCGAAAACCTAGAGCAATTGTAAATTTATATAGCTTACTTGAAGCTCCTCTGAGAATTAGGGCTGTTATTAGATTCCAAATTAGACTTTCATCTTCACATGACAAGTATCTGTAAGAATGCACATAGAATGTTAGGTTTTGTTATTAGGACTGGAACACAATTTGACAATGAAGTAGTTGCTAAAATAATATTTAACGCATTTGTTCGTAGCAAGTTGGAATATGGTGTTGTTGTCTGGGACCCATTTGAGGACAAGTATATCCTTATGGTCGAGAAGATACAGCGTTAGTTTTCCCGATGGTGCTTTCGGAAGCAATACGGGTATTCTCACTTTACGAATACTATCCGCACTTTACGAATGATTGGTGACATACTTGCTCAGTACGATGATCTTGACTTATTTGCTGATGGATTGAGTAAACTTATAAGTAAATAAGGAATATTGTATCTGACATTGTATAATTTTTTAACCCTGACATTGATTATTATAATTACTATTTTAATGATGTGTTATATTTTGTTTGACTATTTTGGCCTTTTTTGTTATTTTAATTTGACTATTTTCGTTTTATATTTTTATTTTTTTATTTTATTTGTTCTGCAATTATTTTAACTTTATTTTTTATTTTATGATTATGACTTAAAATAGATCATTTTAACTTAATGTATCTAATGTTACAAGCGTGTTGGATGCTACCATCAGTTAGCTTGTAAGCGTATATCTTATAAATAAATAAAATATGACTTTTATGCTTCACATAAATATTTACTTTAAATGACATAATATATAATATAGTCATCTGAGGTATTGTAGGGCGAATGTTAGGAGAGGAGTTAAACAAACTAATGATGATATAAGACTGTCTTTATTGTATTGATAGATTTGATTATATAGGATTATTATTACACTTGTGTGTGTACTTTTATATACTCTTACTACTACTACTACACCTTCCATCCAAAAGAAAAAAATGTGACAATACAAGGATTACATTTTTTTAGGCGTTAATACATTAAAAGATTTTATTTTTGTAAATATTAGGAACAGTTACATTATAAAATAATATATAAGGTATTTATTTTAAAAACATTTTTCAATGATTTTTTAATTTAGAATATTTATAATTACGTAGTATTAAGTAATCTACAGAAAGAAATAATAATAATAACAATAAATGTACTTAGACAAAGCGTATAAAATATGTTTTATGTATTATTGGATATAAAATTTCATGCGGTTTTTATGTACTAATTCATTTTTACCATTCTTAATTATTTCTACGCTTGGTGCTACATCTTTAAAAACTTTATAAGGACCAGAGTATAGATCACTTAGTTTATTACCTGACTCATTTTTTAAGAGTACTAAATCATTTACATTGTATTTTATAGGCTTGGTATATTTATCAAATATAATTTTTCTCTTTTCTTTAGACTTTATCAAATTATTTCTTGCCTCTCTTTGTGACAATTAACCTGTATTTGAGCGCACATGGATAGTGATCGCAGTTATAAAGTGGCTCTAAATCTACTGTCAAATTACTAGGAAGTGAACATTTTTTACCAAAGACAAGTTCATAAGGACTGAATTTCGTCTCTGTATGAACTGTCGTATTATAGGCAAACGACCAAAATGGTAACCAGTCGCTCCATGTTTCAGGGTGATTATCAATTTGAATGCGAAAAAAGCATTTAAATTTTTATGTGACACTTCCAACGCACCTAGTTATTGGTGGCGGTAAGCAGTCGAATTTAATTGTTTTATTTGAAGCAATTTACATACCTCTTGGAATATGGATGCGATAAACTCTTTCCCTCTGTCAGTAGTTATTTCTTTTGGTACTCCATACCTAATACCTAAGAATAAAGTTAGTAACAAAACTTTGCTACTTCGTCACTTCTTTTGAAATTAAAGGATATGTTTTCACATACTTAGTGAGTTCGCATTGTAGCGTTAAAGCATAAGAGAAATTATTATTATCGACTTCAAATGGACCTACTAGGTCTAAATGTATCTTTTCAAACGCTGTGTTAGCTGTCGTTGTTATTTCTAATGGCTATCTTACGGGTAACGAAGATATCTGACGCTGACTGATTTATTACAACGCCTAACGAAATTCCTTACATCATTATCTAATCCAGGCCAATAATAGTACTTTTTTATATTGTTGACCATCCTTTTCATACCTGCATGGCCACTGCTAGGTAGGAGATGGAAGTCATTTAATATCACCTTTCTGTCATCCTTATTATATATCGTTTTTACATTATTTATTATATGTACGTGGACCGGACCTATCATTCATAGATTTGACTTCTTCAACTAGTTTTTTATTAAATTCCTTATTACCATCCTTCTTTATTATACATACTTCATTAACATTTATTAACTTACAAAAATCATCTAATTCCCTCACAAACTCGCGTCGCGTCATTCGTGAGTCGGAACTTAGATATT